TTATTATTATTATCATTAGAACCATTACCTTTCTGATAATTATCATTATCATTATGATATTATTATATTCTATTATTATACTATTATGATAATTAGAGTTATTATCATTACCATTACTATTTTTATTATCATTATTATTATTAATAAGTATAGTGATAAAAATAATAGTGATGATAATGATAATGTCACTGATAACTGAAATGAAAATGGTTATATCTATACTATATCCATATTCAAAGGAATACTTTTTTCTCAATAAATGGCCAAGCTTACTTTATTGTGTAAACATTTAACACATAACATTTTATTTTATTATTAGAAGTTCTATTGTCATTGTTGCTACTTTTAGTTTACCATTCTTATTATTGGAAATATTATTGTTCCGAACATTATCATCATTGCCATTATTATCATCATTATTATTGATATTATTATTATTATTATTACTGATATTATTATGTTTTTTATTGTTACTGACATTATTATGATTAATATTATTATTAACATTTTTTATGAACATAATTATTATTATTATTTTTACTATTGTTATAATTATCAATAGTAATGTGATAATATAATAATTATTATTGTTATCATCATTATTTTATGGTGATCTTCTTTGTTAACATTATCGTCATTTTTTTCATATTATTGCTTCTTATAATTATTATTATGATCAACATATTATTATTGTTATCATTATATTTATTATGAATGTTATCAGCTTTATCACTATTATCATTATATAAATAGTGATAGTATTCACAGTTATTGTTACAATAATAAATATTAACACTTCAATTACCAACAAAAATACAATGATTATAATGAAACTTTATTTTAAACGCTACATACAAGTTACCAGGACCATTAAGTAAGCAGAATCATTTAATGAGAGCACATATATCTAATTTATATTTAGATCTAAAAAAATGTTTCCTTGGAAAGCGATCAGAAGGCGAAAAGTGACTGCTACCTGTCCTGCTACCCGATTGACAATAAAGGAATTCAGAACATTGAGGAATGCTTTAAACATATGAACTGGGGCACCTTCCATGCCATGGGCTTGGCGTCACTGCTTTTATAATATTGGAAGATATATTTAGTGTGATGTTCATAATCATACCTTGATTACATATTTTGTTATTAATAATACGCATGGATAGTGACATTTAATATATATATACATATATATACATATATATACTTATATATTTATATATATACATTTATTTTTTTTATCTATGTGGCATGAACAAGCATGAAATTTAAGGGAATATGAGAGGCTAATAAAACTACAGAATTCAGCATAAAACTCGCATTAAATTATTAAAGTTGTGGAATATAAGTGCTTCATTGCCCATTCCATACATGTTTTTATTCCGGGTGCATTTGTTACATTCTTGAACAAAAATGAATTATAAAGAACAAACAAGGAAGTATCACCGGACTGTCGTGATCAAAGTCCTACTAAGTGAAAAGTAACTGCTCCATATCAATTAAGTAATTACAGTCTCTATAAGAAAATAGTGGAATGGTTACATTATCCGTGCATGACAAGTGACCAATACACACGTGAAGGCCAGTTACGAAGTGGATTCATGACCAAAAAAACATGGAAGTCTTTCCGCATCCAAGCTAAGCACGTGGCTGAAACGCGATGAAAGATGTCTTGGCGAATATTGTTAATGTTTGGGAAACGGTTAATGTGGTAAAACCTCCCAACATCAAGACAGACCATGCTAAGAGGGAATGGAAAGTGTTAAGTAGGAAAGCGGGACATCACGTCATCTCTGTCCCGGGGATTTAACAACGATAAGAATAACGATAGATAGTTCTTATTGTAATTATGACTGCCCCCAGTATTGGTCTTTCTTTTCTACAATTAATATTACCGTTATTTTTAGCAATAAAATGATAGTAAAATATCTTAGAAATTAATAACCACCATACCAATATATGAAAATTATTGAAGCCCCGCAAATACACAATAATGATAATAGGTAAAATAAAATAAAAATATGTAAAAAGAAATATCTATCTATCTATCTATACATATATTTGATATATATTAGGAGTAAGTTCGCAGACATTTTGTTTATTTTCCCTTCTAGGAAGTTCTAAGAGCCACCCTCAAGTTGAAACAACAAAATATGCTTTCTCTCGCTCAGCTGATCAAATGTGGGTAAATAGCATTCAGATTAACCGAAACTGAATTATGCATCACCAAGTATTGAGTTCCTATTTCTATACATACGTAGTTATGGTGATCCGTGAAGAAAGTATTGCAGAGGTTGGCCTTTTACGCATAGATGGCTTAACTCTAGTCATCTCTCTTCCTCTCTTTCCCCCCCACTCTCTTTCCTCTCTCCTCCTTTCTCTCTTATTCTCTCTCAACCTTTCTCGCATCATTTTTCTCTCTCTTCTACTCTCGCCCCCCCTCCCACTCTCTCGTCTCTCTTCTCTTTTCTTCTTTCTCTCTCTCTCTATGTATATGTGTATATATATATTTCATCTCCCTGTCTTTCTCTCTTCCCCTGTCTCTCTCTCTTCTCCTTCTCTCTCTCTATGTATATATAAATAAACATGTTAAGTTAGGTTAGAATAGTTATGTTAAGTTTGATTAGGTCTGAGTTAGGTTAGTTTACTTGTAGGTTAAAATGGTTAGGTTAGTTAGAACCATAAGGTTTGGTTACGTTAGAATAGTTAGGTTAGGTTGGGTTAAGTTAGGTTAGAATCGAATGGATAGGTTAAGTTTTAGAATTGTTACGTTAGGTTACGTTGAGGATAGGTTATGTTAGATATATTAGGTCAAGTTACATTTAAATTAGATAGTTTAAGTTAGATAAGGTTTAGGATAGAAAAGTTTAGTTAGGGTAGAATCTTAGGGTTAGGTTAGGTTAAATTAGGTTCGGTTATTTAGGTTAGGGTTAGGTTAGATTATGGATAGATAAATTAGGCTAGATCAGGTTTAGGTTGGGTTAGATAATGTTTAGGTTAGGTTAGGTGTAGATTAGGTTAGGTTAAGTCACGTTTAGGTTAGGCTAGGTATGGATTATGGTAGTTCAGGTTCCATTTAGTTTAGAATAGTTAGGTTAGAATTGTTAAGTTTGAAATGCTAAGTTAGAGTAAAATCGTTATTTTAGGCTAGGTATAGGATGGGTTAGGTTAGGTTTAGCTTAGGTTAGATATGGGTTAGGTTATTTCAGGTTTTCTTTAGGATATAATATTTGGAGTAAAATGGCAAGGTTAGGAAAATTTAGAGATGTTAAATTAGGGTAAAATCGTTATTTTAGGTTAGGTTATGTTAGATAGGTTGGGTTAGGTCAGGTTTAGGTTAGATTAGATATGGTTTAACTCAGTTTATGTTACATTTAGGTTAGAGTGATTAGCTTAGAATTGTAAGGTTAGAAATCGTTATTTTAGGTTGAGTAAATGTTGGTTTAGGTTAAATTTAAGTTACGTTTAGGATGGTTAGAATAGATTAAAATCGTAAGGTTAGATTTAGTTAGAATCATAAGGTTAGATTAGAATCGTTACTTTAGGTAGATAGGTTTTGAGTTAGGTTTGCGAAGATTTAAGGTAGGTTAGGTTGGGATAGGTATAAGGAAACAAAGGACATCTAGCAGTATTCGTTTTAGGACCT